GGACGAGGGACGCGTGGGTGTGCGGTCGAGAGTGCGCCTCGAGCGGTGCGTCGAGCATCGAGTCGAGGGCGGCGTCGAGCGCAGCGCCGAGGGCGAGGAGGGTGTCCATCCGCTTGGTCTCCGCCTCGTCGGCGGCGCCGGTGTTGAGGGCGGCGCCCATCGCGAGCGCCGCCTCGAGCGGATCCTCTATCATCTTCGCCATCCCGATCTCCGCGTTGATCACGTCCTCGGCAGGCGCGGGCACCGCGCCGCCCGACCAGTCTTGAAACATTGGGTCGGGTGGGAACTCGACAGAGGTGGTGGTGAGCGCGTCGTTGAGCGTGCCCAGCGACTCGGCAGCGGCCGTCGATTGCGCGGCCCGCCGCTGCAGCGCCCCAGCTGCTCCTGTCCCCGCACCGCCCTCTCTCGCCGCGCCGCCCGCACGGCCGGAGCCGCCCTGATTATGATTCCCCAGGAGCAGGGCGGCCGCCGTGGCCCGGGCCGCGCCAGCGGCAGCGGGCTGCTGCCGCGGCGGCAGCGGGGAGGAGGAGGAGGAAGCGGCGGCGATGCAGATGCCCAACATTTCACAACATTTGGGCGGTCACGGCTGCTGGACGCCGTTCAGGAATTCAGGAAAAAAATCCGCACGCGACCGGCAGTGTGGCGAAGGCAGCTTCGCAGCTTCGAATTATAGGATGGATAAAGCGCCTGTTCACGGCATGGAGGGTGAGCCACGATGAACGTAGAGCCGAACGGGGGGAAGCCGGGGAAGACGACTCCGAGGAAGACGAAACACCAGTGGTAATCCCGTCGTCAGCTGTCACGATGCACCCGAAGGGAACCCCAGTGCCAAAACCGACCGTGGAGGTACAAGTGTTCGAAGAGAGAGTGGACCTGAGCAACGATAGAGAGAGATTTTTAGAAGCCTTCTCTTCTCGTGCAACGATATGACTTGGCGGCAAATGATCGCAGTGGGCGTCAGAAGAGTCGTCCTTGCGCGAGGAGAGCTCGATAAACTCGAGGGGCCAAAATATGCCGCCAGGAGGGCAGAGTTGCGCCGAAAGGCGGGAGAAGCCGCGAGAGCAAGGGATCGGCGGGCGGCGGCGGCGTCGCAGTACGCAGAACGAGGCAGAGGAGAGCGACGCGACAGAGGGTAACTTGGTGAAGGAAATCGAAGGACAACAACAAGAGAGAAGGCAGTGCGATAGCAGTGCGATAGGCCTCGACGCGGGCACACGATGCAGGCCGAGGCGAACCTCCGATCGACGCTGGCGGCGGGCACTCAGCACAGCGTCTTCATCGACGGCGTGGGCCGGCTCTTCTCGTCCGGCAACGATGAGATCGAGGTCGGCGATGATCTCGACTCAGAGGAGGCCCTGGCTGTCAATGGGCTGCTCGGTCACGGCGAGGGCGTGACGCGGCTCAACACGCCGACCATCCTTCCGTCGATGCTGGGAGGCGAGCTCGCCGATAGCGCGTCGGCGGGAGAGATCCACAGCCTCGCCATCGCCGCCGACGGCAGCGTTTGGAGCTGGGGCTGTGCATGCCGGCTGGGCCACGGCGACGACGAGAATCAGCTGCAGCCGAAGAAGATCGAGGCCTTCGCCGGGCAGCGCGTCATCGCTGTCTCGGCGGGGTCGAATCACAGCCTCGCCATCACCGCCGACGGCGCTGTGTGGACCTGGGGCTTGGACGGCCGCCAGCTGGGCACGTCCGACAACCTGCTGCCCAAGAAGATCGAGTCCATGGCGGGGCAGCGCGTCGTCGCTGTGGCGGCGGACCTCAAGCACAGCCTCGCTCTCACTACCGACGGCGGGGTGTGGAGCTGGGGCGGCGGACTCTATGGCGTGCTGGGCCACGGTGACCACGAGGACCAGCTGCTGCCCAAGAAGATTGAGGCCTTTGCGGGCCAGCGCGTCGTCGCCGTGTCGGCGCAAAACAACATGAGCGTCGCCATCACCGCCGACGGCGCCGTCTGGTCGTGGGGCCTTAACCACGGCCGCGGCGTGGTGCTGGGCCCGACGAGCCGACCCTGCTGCCCAAGAAGGTCGAGGGCCTGGCTGGCCAGCACGTCGTCGCTGTGTCAGCTGGAGACTTGCACAGCCTCGCCATCACCGCCGACGGCGCCGTCTGGAGCTGGGGCCGTGGAACCTTTGGCGAGCTGGGCCACGGCGACGAGAAGGACCAGCCGCCCAAGAAGATCGAGGCCTTGGCTGGCCAGCGCGTCGTCGCCGTGTCGGCGGGACACCACCACAGCCTCGCCCGCACCGCCAACGGCAGCGTCTGGAGCTGGGGCGGTGGAGGAGACGGCGTGCTAGGCCACGGCGACGAGCAGAACCAGCTGCTGCCCAAGAAGATCGACATCGAGGAGTGGGTGGTGCGGCCGACCCCCAAGAAGAGGACGCGAGCCTCGGCGGCGTCTCCCAAGACGGCATCGGTCTGAGGACGAGGACGAGATCGAGGACACGTTCACTCGAGCACGCTCGTGCCTCTCGGGAGGAGACTGCTGCTGTGGCTCTGTGGAGCAGGAGCTGGACGAGGATGGATCGGAGACACGCGTATGATCTCCAACTCGTGGGGGCCGCGGAGTTGCGGCTAGCGTTCGCATGGGCTCGCTCTCCCCGATCGCCCGCCACGCCGCCCCCGCCGCTGTCCGCTGACTGTTGCCGGCATGTCCATGTGCGTTGCCTCACGCGCTCGGTGACGGGGACGTACACGCGAGAGTCCCGCTCTCTCTCTCTCTCTCTCTCTCTCTCTCTCTCTCTCTCTCTCTCTCTCTCTCTCTCTCTCTCTCTCTCTCTCTCTCTCTCTCTCTCTCTCTTGGTGAAATATGTCTCTATGGTATACGCGGCGCTCCAGGCAGGAGCGGAGAGTAGGTTGGAGGAAGGGCACACACAATACGCAAACGATGGCTTGGGCTGTGTGTGGGCTGGTCGCGGTGGGGGATATGGTGCTTGTTTATGGTCCTCATTTCCCCCACTCACCACTCCCAACCGGCAGGGCCTCACGGGGCAATTTTGAATGCCTCTGCCATCGCTCAGGTCCCAAACCATGTGCTCGTCCGCGCAGGGAGGGCTCGGTCGCGCCCCCCCCAGAGAGCAGAGTGAGGTGTTCGGACTGAGCGACGGCAGGACCCTTTGAAATCATAAACTGCGACGTCCGTGAGGCCCCTACGGCCGGTGGCAGTGAGTGGGTGAAATTGGAGGGCCATAAACTACCATCACGCCGCCCATCGGACCCGCCCTCCTCCACCCCAAACACAGTCCAAACCGGGGCCCCGGCGGCGGCCGGCGCGGCGGCGGCGACGCACGCCGGCGAAGCACCATCAAGCTGCTGTACGGCCTCGGCATCGCCTACCCAGGCTTAGCTAGACTGAGACATATTGTGCACACGGTCTGTTTCTACAATATATACACTAACACTGTACCTCCCAGAGCTCGTCCCGGTCCATTACGGCCATCCTCGTCCTCCGGCGCCGGGCTCCGCCGGCCAGTCGCCCGCCAGATCCGGCTTCGTCGGGAGGGCGTCGTCGCGGAGCACCATCGCGAAGAGTGCGGATTTGGAGCGCTACACTGGGGACCCCAACGCGACCGCCTCGCAGATGGTGAACGAGCGGCAGTCCTCCGTCCCGCTCGGCGGGCCGCCATCGGCGGGGCACCGCCGCGGCTGCACGGCTGTGCACACGGCCTCCGGGACGCCGTACGAGCCGCCGGCCTCCTCTCCGGCCCCTCTGACTGGCGCCGCCGCTCGAAGGAGGCCCTGCGGGCGCTCTCGCCGCAGCATCACCTGCGTGCCGCCACCTGCCCAGCGGACGGCCCCCGTGTACGCCGCGCCGGCGCTCCTCGTCGTGTCGTTCCAGCGGACGCCGTCGAGCGACCATGCGTGGCCGCCCGCCTCGGTCGCCCCGTTGCCCGCGTGGCTGAGGACGTGCAGCACCTCTGGCCGCGTGCCGTCCTCCGAGGCGGGCGCCACCCAGCCCCACGTGTCCTCGACTCGCGAGCTCAGCACGGGCGAGGCTGGCCGGAGGCGGGAGCATGGCCCATCGAAGCGAGCGCACCGCGCGACGCCCACGGCCTGCAGGTCGCCGCCGCGCCCCTTGTAGAGCATCAGCACCGTGCCATTGCGCAGAAGGAGGGGCGTGGCGTTGCTGACATCCTCATAGTCCCAGTCGCCGGCGGCTCGATCGCCCGGCCCGAGCAGGGGCGAATCGCGCCGCGCCCACGGCCCCCAGAGCGAGGCCGACGTGGCGAGCCCGACGCGGCGAGTAGCGCGGTCGCCCGTCCTCGGGTCGACGCGCCGCGTGCAGTTTGGGTGCGTGCCGTCCCGCGGGTCCCAGGTGTTGGCCGAGCCCATGTAGTAGAGCGCCCACAGCCATGCGCCTCCCGACCGGACGCGGTGGATTGTCGGGCCGTGCACGCCGCCCGAGTCCCAGTGCGGCGGCGAGCGGGGAGCCAGCGCCACGCCCGCTCGCTCGTAAGGCCCGAGCGGGTGAGCGGCAGTCAGGTGGACCACCCGCGAGTTGGAGCAGTAATGCAAGACGCCGCAGTCGCCAGTCATCTCCGACGCAAACATGTGGACGGTCGATCCGTCTCGGATGGGCGAGCCGCCCCACGTCCACGAGCGGGATCGGAACGCTCTCCTCGCGCCGGCGGCAGACCAGCTGACCTGTCCGCAACGCTCGCCGGCCCAGCCGGGGTGGCACTCGCAGCCGCCGGAGACGCAGTCCCCGTTGAAGCCGGCGCAATCGGCCGCGGTGGAGCAGGCGGCAGGCATTTTCCGTCGAGACGGGTCATGGGAGTGGCTCGACAACGATGGGCGGAATGACGGCAAACGCTGGTTCGTACCTAGGTACCGCCTCAGCGGAGCTGGGAATATTGCAATAGGACCGCCGCAAGCGGCGTGGCGTGGAGCGGTTGAGCATTCCTCCGGGGGACCCTCTGCGCCGGGGAGGCGTTGTTGGAGGCTAGGACGCAAGCGTCCGTCGCCCTTTTCAAACTCGGGGCCCACTCCGCTACGCTCCGACCCGAATTTGGAGGGAGGGCCTGAAAGTTTAACCCTTTTGCTTCATAGTGGTCATGGTGACCAAATCTCGATATATCTCCAGTCGTAGCGGTGGAACTCTAAAACGTTCGTACCAGCCAGGGTTCCGGCCCCTAGCCAGATAGGGGGTCTGCGCTCTTACCTACCACGCGCGAAAACGCCCTACCTGTCTACCTATCCCCAGGCCGCGCAGCGAAGCGAAAAAAGACGAAAATAGGGGGTACCTACCTATTGCTCTTTGCGGGGCCCTCTGGGGCGGTCAAAACCGGACCTACCTACCTATTGCAGAGGCGCCAGCCGGTGGGAACAGACCCCCTATCTGGCTAGGAGCCGGAACCCAGGAGTCCAGGCTCAGAAAGAATTCAAAAAACGGGATCAGACAGAGAAGGCGAGACGGCGGCGAAGCCGCGGCCGAAGAAGTATAAGAGGGGAAGGCGGGCTCCGCAGCCGACGGCGACGCCTGACCATCGGAAAGCGAACAGGAGGGAGGACCGGGAGGAGAGGGGAGCCCCTTCGGATGGGGGGTGGGGAGATCGGGCGGAGGAGCCCTAAGTGGCGATGTCGGGTGAGAGTGACGTCATGCTCGTGTCTGGTGTTTACTAGCTCCGAGTAGAGGGGGCGTTCCGCAGCTAGGGGACACCCAAAGCGCAGAACCAACCCTCGGAGACCTGTGTTTACCGTTTACGGCCCTTTCCCTGCGAACGCGCACCCCCCCCAGGGCTAGGGCTCTCTAGCCCGTAACCCGATGCCGATCATCCGGCCCGCTGTGGGTGCGCTTCTTAGCTCCCCGGCCCTGGATGTGAGGTTAATGACTGCACTCCAAGTGCTCCAAGTGCCCATGGAGCGTCCGAGAACATCCAGAGAGCCGTGAAAGCACGCCGTGAATCGACGCGCCCTGCCTAGGTGAGGCACACACTGCCCAGGACTACGTGCCTGCCCTTCTCTCCCACCCTGCTGCACGCCACACCGGCGGTCGGTCCTTTCTGGCCACGCCGCCGCGCGCGGCAGGCCGCAGCCCCGCGGCGCTCCGACGCTCGCGGCGCGGCGCGGCGCGCACGGGGCTGCGGCCGCTGCGACGGCGGCTGCGCTGGCGGGACTCACGGAGACTCTGGCCCACACCCTGTACGAGCTAGAGTCACCCGATTCGGCCCGCGGGAGATTGTGTGGGTGTGTTTGGAGATTGATACGTGACGGAGGGGTTATTTTGCGATGGCCGATGCAGGCGGCCGACCTCTCAACCAAGCTCGAGAGGCTTCAGACCGGGGTATCCGCGATAGATATTGCGCCCTTTCTCCTCAACGGCTATCCCTCCCTGCTTCTAGAAGTATGTTTTTCTTTTGCCAGTCCGCGCCAGTCTGCGCCCTTGTCGTGCCAGTGTGCTGTGAGAGAGGCGGGTCCAGATTCTTTTGCGAGTCCCGTGCCCAAAGAAAGAAAAAAGAAAACGCAACTCAGGGGGGGGGTCTAAAATTCCTGTGTTAGTGCCAGTCAGTGCGCGCCAGTCCCGTGCCTAGTGTAAAGAAAGAAAGAAAACAGAGAACGCAAGGGAGGGATCGGCCTAGTAAAGAAAGAAGGAAAGAAAACGGAGACCTCCGGGCCCAGTGTTGTGCGAGGGAGCCTCCGCTGGGGCGGCGCAGGGCGAGCTGCCGGCCTTGGTTGCTGTAACGAGAGCGATGATCGCCGTGCTCCCGGCTGCGGGCAAGGCAGCGGCGGCGCTCGTGGTGGCGGCCGATGTCGCGTCGCGGCTCCAGCGGTCCGTCCCCGCCTGGACGATCGGCAGCGACGCCGAGGAGGTCGCGGAAGCTGTGCGCAAGGTCGCTGGCGATGCGTCCTTCTGGCCGACGCCGTGGCTCGGCGGTCTCTTCAGTGGGCACCTGCAGACGATCTGGTACGGCCTCAACATCTTCTCGCCTCAGATCGCGCACCGCGAAGATGTGTGGCGCACCGCAGACGGCGGCACGCTCGCGCTCGCGTGGCCTGACGTGCCGGCCTCCGTCGCAGCCGACGCGCCCATCGTCCTCATCCTGCCGGGGCTCTGCGGGAGCATTGCGGGCACGGCGCACACGCTGCGCGCCATGATCTCGCAGGGCCTGCGGCCGGTGGTGCTGCACGCTAGGGGCTGCGGCAGGCCGCTCACCTCGCCGCGCTTCAGCCTGTTTGGGTCGACCGAGGACCTGCGCGAGGCGCTGATGCGCATCCTCACGCAGCGGCCGGGCGCGAGGCTCCTGCTGCACAGCATCTCAGCCGGCACAGCGCTCATGGTGCGGTACCTCGGAGAGGAGGGCGCGGCCACGCCGGTCGCCGCTGCCTTTGCCAACTGCCCTGGCTACGACATCTCTGTCTGCCTCTCCCGCTGCGGCGCGCTGTACGATTCGGCCTTCTACATCGGCGTCCTGAAGCGGCACTGGCTGCGCGGTCAGAACGGCGCCGTGCTGCGCCGCGCCGCCCCGGAGGTGTGCCGCCGCATGGAGGAGAGCAGGGACATGCACAGCTTCATGGTTGCCGCCTCGCCGTTCGCAGCCGCGCCAGAGGCGCCGCCAAAGGAGGGGCTGGGCTCGCCCGCCTCCGTCATCGGACGCGGGATTGGCAGCGTGCCTCCGGCGGCCGCGAGAACAGAGGCGCGGCCGAGGGCGCAGACGTGGAGCCCCGGCTCCTCTCGTGCCGCCGCCCGGCCCTCCGACGCGAGCAGCGGCGTCCTCGAGGCAGACGCCAGCACCGTCGCCAACGCGATTGCAGCCTACCTGGGCAAGATCTCCCCCAGATCTCCCCCAGATCTCCTCAGATCTTCCCATAGGCGTTTGCAGCCTACCTGAGCCGCTGCAACCCGATGGGCGTCGCGCACCGCATCACGGCGCGTGAGTCATAATTCAGTATTGGCGAGGGGTGTGGCACACTGCAGCACGGCGCGTGATTGAGAGTTCATAAGTCAGAGGTGATGCGGGGCGTGGCACACCGCAGCACGGCCGCGGTGGGTGGGGTGGTGGGGTTGTGTCCAACACTGACCTCCCAATCTTTGCGACTCGTCCGCGCCGCCAGGTGCCGATCCTGATCTTGAACGCTGACGACGACCCGGTCTGCAAACCCCGCAACGTCGACGACAACGCGCCGGCGCTGCTAGGCGGTCGCTCTTGCCCGAGGGCCGTGCTGCTCCGCTACGGCAAGGGAGGCCACTGCTGCTTCGCCCGAGGCCTGACGGCCGCCCGGTGGGCCGACCAGCTCAGCGCGGCCTTCTTAGCGGAGGCGACGACCGGCGCAGCGCTGGACGAGTGAGGACGCGGAGCGCATACCGTACCTGGCGCATACACCCACACGCGGGTTTTTGGATTGGCTCGTCGCTCGACGCGCAGAGGCTGATATAAAAACCTCGCCGCTCGATACACCGCGCACGGCGCGGGGCCTCTGCCCTCTGGTGTGCCGTCGGTTCGCGCCTCCGCACTCGATCTCGAACTCCCCAACCCCCAAGTCCACTCCAGCCGACTTCCGAGGTCCGACGCTCCGTCGCCGCGGCTGGTGCGGGCCGCGACCCTCGGCGAGGACCGCGAGGTCCCTCAGTCCGACAGAGCTCCGGAGTGTGCGGGTGGGTAGGCCCTAAAACGGCGGGAGGGGTAGGTAGGGGTGCCGCTGTAGGGGGTGTGGAGGGGTCGGGAGGGCCTGCGGAGGGCGGGAGTAGAGCTGTCAAACGTTAAATGTGGGCCAACAGTTGCACTATTGTTGGCTGAAGTACTCAACGTTGCTGTTTCTGTTTGTTACTCGTGTACTGTTGTTACTGTTGTTCAGTGCACAAAGTGGTCAGCACTCTGGGGGGAGGCGGAGGGCCTAGGGGGTACCCGTGCGGGGGGGAGATGGGGTTCCCCAGCCCGCCGCAGGCCAAGATTTTTCTTTTTTTGCGAGATTTTTCACTTGTTTTTCATGGGAATTCGCGGTACTTGCGGCCATGCTATCACGCCTTGCGACAGCCCCTGTCGGCGCTGCTGACCGTGCCCAGCTGCACAATTGACCGCCTGCATAGCTCACGGCCTTAGTATCCAGCATCACCCCGTTTTTGCCCATTTACGGTCATCCGTCAAAATATCTGAAGATCCTACTATAGGATTCTCCCCAAACCTTGCTCAGCTGATCCAGCCTGGGGGGAAGGCCAGCCCTGGGCAAAGAAACCAGTACCTCAACCGGCTTCCCTGAGCGTCACAGCTCGGTGATCGCGCCGGCCGGACACCACTGTAACGTCCGTTCCGGGCATTTGAACGCGACCTTCGGGGGCAAAGACATGGGCTCTATGGCTCAGACTGGACTCCTCTTGGTCCCTTCTGATGCCCTAGGCCACACCTGGGCCTTACCTGGGGCGCTAGGGGGCGGGCAGGGTTTGCCCCCCCAAACTGGCCCGAAGAACCTTAACACTAGCAACACTGTTCGGCTCTTAACGTTTGACAGCTCTAGGCGGGAGTGTGGACCGTGAGACCTAAAGAGCCCTCCAGCTCCACCGAAGGAGGTGTCCGGTCAGGCGGCAGGGCCCAGGACGCAGGAGGGCACTCGGAGGGGTGGGGCTGGCGGCTGGGAGGGCTGGTCAAAACAGCGAGGCGTAGGAGGGCTCGTGAGGGCTTGGGAGAGGTGGAGAGCAGGAGAGCTCTCGGAGGGGTCGGAGGGCTGCCTCGCGCGGAGGGCAGAGAGGCACGAGGGTGGCGCTGGTGGGCTCGGGAGGGGGGGCTCGGGAGAGCTCACAAGGGATGGAGTGCCCGGAGGGCTCGGAGGGGCGAGCCGCCGAGCCGGGCTCGGGGGTCTCGGAGGGCTCGGAGGGCTCGGAGGGCTCGGAGGGCTCAAGGATCGACCCCTCCCCGAGCCCTAATGGAGCCCTCCAGCCCTCCAGCCCTCCGAGCCCTCCGAGCCCTCCGTGCTCCGAGCCCTCCGAGCCCTCTTGGGGGGCAGTCACATAAGCCGCGAAAGGGTTTTTTATCTTTTTGCGACCCCTCCCGGAGGGCCCTTCCGACCCCTCTCGAGGCCTCCCGTCACGAAGATCCTCCCTTGTCCGACCGTCCCTCCTGAGCCCTGGCTGTCAGGCTGTCAGGTGCTGTCAGGTGATCTGTCGGGCTGTCGGGCAGCCGTCAGGCATTGTCCGGTGCCTCTGTCAGACCAGCTGTCAGGTGCTGTCAGTGCTGTCGGGTGCTGTCGGGTGCGTGCCTGACAGTCGAGGTGCTCTGTAGCTGTCGGGTGCTGTCGGAGCTGTCGGGTGTTGCTGTCAGACGCTGTCGGAGCTGTCAGAGCTGTCAGGCTGCTGCTGCTGTCAGACGTTGGGCTGTTGCTGTCAGGTGCTGTCAGGTGGTGCTGTCGGGGTGCTGTCAGGCTCTGACACACACCAGCCACACTTATGACACTATCAAGAGGAGACCAGCAGGACTCTACTACACATACTCTCAGCCTCTCCTCCTACACGGCGTGATCACGCCGGCGGCGGCGGCCGCCTGGGGAGCGCATATGGCGGCGCAGGCGCAGGCGGCGGCGGCGGCACAGACGGCGGCGGCCACCCCCACCCAGACGCCGTAGGCATATGACTGTAGGGCCCCAGAAGGCTAGCTGGTAGCTTCATTTGTAGTAGCACAGCCGCCGGTGCTAGAGAGGGGTCCCCGCAGACGCGCAGAGGTGTGGGACGGAAGGGTTGAGAGAGAGACCCATGACCATCCCATGACTACATGGACCACACTCACATGTCTTTGCATGTACTAGTTTTGTTATACCCTCATGGGACACAAGAAAGAGGCTCTACGGGGTCTGACTGTGTACGGTCTGTGCTGCTGTCGGGCTGTCAGCGCTGTTGTCAGGCCACTGTGTGCTGTCGGGCTGTCGGGCAGCTGTCAGGCTGTCACGTTAGGGCCTGACAGCGACGGAGCACCTCGACTGTCAGACTCTGCTGTCAGGCTGTCAGATACGTGCTGTCAGACTGTCGGAGAAAGTGCTGTCAGCGCTGTCAGTCAGGCTGTCGGGCGGGCACTGTCAGGCGCTGTCCGGGGTTTGCTGTCAGGCTGTCAGACCAGGGCTCAGCGTCCCTCCGAGCCCACCCGGCGTCCGGGGAGGGGGTTAGCCCTGTGGAGCCCTCCCGACGCCGATCCGACGGGGACCCCTCCAGCCCTGTCTCTAGCCCTGTCTGTGGGCTGGCGAGCCCTTCGGTCGGAGGGGTGGATGGAAGTGGGAGGGCTCGAAGGAAGACGGAGGGCCCGGTAAACCCTGCTGCGTGGTCCGTCCGCTTCTGTGTGTGTCCGTGCTGAGCCGTGTGCGGTGTGGCGCCGCACACACGCCGCTGTCTCATGCCTCGACCCCGCCCTACTCGAGATCGTGTGTGTCCCACTCGTGGACGCCCGACGCTACGAGGCCCTGCTTCGTTCGTTTCCGCCCGGTGTACTACACAAGAGTGGCTCGCTCGCCCTCCCTCCCGTCCGGCGGCACACCTGCGACCTGGCGCTGGCCTCTTTCTATCGCAGCGCACTCGCCATCTGTGGCCTAGCGCAGCGCGAGCTCGCTCCATGCTCGGATTCCGGTCCCAGAGATAACGATGGCGAAACTTCCGCCGCCGCCGCCCCCGCGGGCCGACTCGCGCTGCCCGCTGCCGTCGCTGGCGCACCTGCGGGGCTCCGACTGGGCCAGTGTGTACGAGCCGTCCGACGACACGTACCTCCTCCTCGACGCCCTCGCCGCCGACCTCGCCGTGCTGCGCGCTGCGCTGCCCGGCGTCGTGCTCGAGCTCGGCTCGGGCTCCGGCTGCGTCATCACCGGGCTGGCCCAGATCCTGGCGCGCGGCGGAGTGCCGGCCGCGTCCGCCGCCCTCGTGGCCACCGACCTCAACGCGTCCGCCAACGCGGCGACCGCCGCCACCGCCGCCGCCAACAGCGTGCCGCTCGAGGTGGTGCGCGCCGACCTGCTCGGCGCAGTGCGGCCTGGGACGGTCGACGTGCTGCTCTTCAACCCTCCGTACGTGCCCACCTCGGAGGAGGAGGCGGCAAGTGGGCAGGCCGAGCGCGACATCTCCGCCGCCTGGGCGGGCGGGCCCGACGGTCGCGTGGTCGTGGACCGGCTGCTGCCTGACCTCGGCCGGCTGCTCTCTGCGAGAGGGGTGCGTCTACAGTCCGATGCGAACTAGAGACGAGGAGATCACATGCTGCCTGACCTCGGCCGGCTGCGAGAGAAAGGTGCGCTACCACCACCTCGTGTGTGTGTGGAGACGTTCCCCTCACCTGGCCTCACACCTCAGGTCTTCTACTTGCTCGGCGTGCGCGAGAACAGACCCGACGAGCTAGCGGCGCAGGTGGAGGCGCAGCACGGCATGCGCGCCGAGCTGATCGCTGAGCGGCGCGCGCAGAACGAGCGCCTCTTTGTGATGCGCTTCTCGCGGAGCCAACCTGCCTCCGCGTGAGCGCGCCCCCATGACGCATGAGGTGAGCTCCACCTGGCAGCGGTGAAGACTGCCTTCTTGGGCGGCGTCCGTTTTCTTGTAATCCTCCTTACTCCTGGTGTTAGATGTGACCGTCAGGAGGCGGAGCGCCGGCGGTCAAGTTTCCAAGCTCAGAAAGAAAAAAAGCTAAAAGGCAAAAGGGCGATGCCGATGGCGCGTTCCCCGCGACGAGAAGAGCAGCAACAGAGCCTCAGTTTCAGAGCCGTGAAAGCACGCCGTGAATCGACACGCCGTGAAAGCGCAGAACCAACCCTCGGAGACCTGTGTTTACCGTTTACGGCCCTTTCCCTGCGAACGCGGTAGGTAGGTAGGTAGAAAGGTGAAGAACAGCCAGGCTCGGACTGGACACCAACGCGGTATGCGCACCCCCCCCAGGGCTAGGGCTCTCTAGCCCGTAACCCGATGCCGATCATCCGGCCCGCTGTGGGTGCGCTTCTTAGCTCCCCGGCCCTGGATGTGAGGTTAATGACTGCACTCCAAGTGCTCCAAGTGCCCATGGAGCGTCCGAGAACATCCAGAGAGCCGTGAAAGCACGCCGTGAATCGACGCGCCCTGCCTAGGTGAGGCACACACTGCCCAGGACTACGTGCCTGCCCTTCTCTCCCACCCTGCTGCACGCCACACCGGCGGTCGGCCCTTTCTGGCCACGCCGCCGCGCGCGGCAGGCCGCAGCCCCGCGGCGCTCCGACGCTCGCGGCGCGGCGCGGCGCGCACGGGGCTGCGGCCGCTGCGACGGCGGCTGCGCTGGCGGGACTCACGGAGACTCTGGCCCACACCCACCGCCTCGCCGGCCCCTCTGCTGACGCCGCTCTTGCCCCCTCCCGCGCGCAGAGCACACCCCCCTCCTTCAAGAACCCCCAAAAACCCAAGTGCGCCGCCCACCCTGCCTCGCGCGGCCACCCCTCGCTGCGCTCTGCGGCAGCTGCTCCCTCTCCGGCCTGGCCGCCTCCGCCGAGCGTCGCCGTCCCGCGCGCGCAGAAAAAAAAAAGCATGCAGAACGCCTACGCCACCGCCTCGCTCTACGTTGGTGACCTCCACAACGAGGTCACTGAGGCTCTCCTCTTCGAGCTCTTCAACGCTGTCGGCCCCGTCGCCTCGATCCGCGTCTGCCGCGACTCGGTGACGCGCCGCTCGCTGGGCTACGCTTACGTGAACTTTCACTCCGTCGTCGACGCCGAGCGCGCGCTCGAGACGATGAACTACACTCTCATCAAGAACAAGCCGTGCCGCATCATGTGGTGCCACCGCGACCCGTCGCTCCGCAAGTCGGGGACCGGCAACGTCTTCATCAAGAACCTGGACAAGTCGATCGACAACAAGGCGCTGTACGACACCTTCTCCGCCTTCGGCAACATCCTCTCCTGCAAGGTGGCCACCGACGAGTCCGGCGCCTCCAAGGGCTACGGCTTCGTGCACTACGAGACGCAGGAGGCCGCGCAGATGGCTGTGACCCGCGTCAACGGCATGCTGCTCAACGGCAAGAAGGTCTTCGTGGGCTTCTTCGTGTCGCGGAAGGAGCGGTCGACGGACGAGAACGAGAAGGCCTTCACCAACGTCTTCATCAAGAACCTGCCCGTCGAGTGGGAGGACACCGAGCTCAACGAGCTCTTCGCCGAGTGCGGCACGATCAAGTCGTCGGTCGTGATGAAGGCACTCCCTAGAGACACTTCCTAGACACTTCCTAGAGACACTTCCTAAGTCGTCGGTCGTGATGAAGGCTGCCGACGGCAAGTCCAAGGGCTTCGCCTTCGTCAACTACGAGACGCACGAGGAGGCGGCCAAGGCGGTGGAGGAGCTCAACGGCAAGGAGGTGAACGGCAAGGCCATCTTCGTCGGCGCCGCGCAGAAGAAGCGGGACCGCGAGCGCGAGCTGCGCGAGAAGTTCGAGGCGCTCAAGGTGGAGCGCGCGTCGAAGTTCACCGGCATCAACCTGTACGTCAAGAACCTGGACGACGAGGTGGACGACGAGCAGCTGCGCGAGGCGTTCGTGCCGTTTGGCAACATCACCTCCGCCAAGGTGATGGTGGACGACAAGGGCGCCTCGCGCGGCTTCGGCTTCGTCTGCTTCGCCGTGCAGGAGGAGGCCACCAAGGCTGTGGCCGAGATGAACGGCCACATCCTCGGCCAGAAGCCGCTGTACGTGGCGCTGGCGCAGCGCAAGGACGAGCGGAAGAACATGCTCGAGCAGCAGCACCAGTCGCGGCCCGGCGGCGGCCGCATGTCGGGCGGCGGCGGCGGGCCGATGTACGGCCAGATGCCGCCGCAGATGGCGATGTACGGCCAGATGCCGCCGCAGGGGCCGGCGGGCGCGCGCGGCTTCATGTACCCGCAGCAGATGATGATGCGGCCGATGGGGCCGGGCGGCGCGTACCAGCCGATGGGGCAGATGGCCAACTACAACTACGGCGCCATCGCCATGGGCGGCCGCGGCGGCGGCCGCGGCGGCATGCAGGGCGGCCCGGGCGGCCGCGGCGGCAAGCAGGGCCGCGGCGGCGGCGGCATGCAGCAGATGGGCCCGGGCCGCGGCGGCGGCATGATGGGCCCGGGCGGTCCGCAGGGCCGGATGGGCAAGGGCGGCGGCCCGCGCGGCCCCGGCCAGATGCCCCCCATGGGCATGCCCGGCCAGCCGATGCCGATGGGCCCGCCCGGCGGCCAGCAGGGGCCGCCGCAGGCGCCCGGCCAGCTGAACGCGGCGACCCTCGCGGCGGCGCCGCCGGAGCAGCAGAAGCAGCTGCTGGGCGAGCGGCTCTTCCCGCTCATCCAGGCGCAGGAGCCCGCCATGGCCGGCAAGATCACCGGCATGCTTCTCGAGATGGACAACGGCGAGCTGCTCAACCTGCTCGAGTCGCCCGACGCGCTCAACGCGAAGATCATGGAGGCCATCTCGGTGCTGCAGATGCACACGGATCAGGCGGCCAAGCAGGAGGGCGCCGACCCGCAGTGAGCGCCGCGGCGCGCCCGTCGTCCGCGCGACGGCGGCTGCCGTGGATCCGCGCGGCGCGCCCCTCGCCCCGACGTCTTTGGGGGGCGAGGCGCGGAACGCTCTTCTGCCGGGCCCACCGGGGGGTGTGTCTTTCGCGGCGCATGCCAGCTTCTCCCGGCCCCCCTCTCTTGACTGAGGTAGCGCGGGGGCCGCGCACGACCGGCGTCAGCGATAAAGGGGTTCTCGCTGCGCCCATGCCGGGCTGGAGACGAAGGTGTGCGTCGAGGTTCCGGAGAGAGGGGCGTTCCTGGCCGCGCCGCGGGGCGTCCATGGCACAATTTGAAGGTGCAAGATCGTGCGTGAGGATGCGATTTTTTTGTCTTTTGCGCTCTTGAGAGAAAAACAACTAGCAGCAAAAGGGCCCCGCGACGAAATGCGAGCCTCGGGCTCGAGAGACAGAGAGGTGCGGCCCGCCCCCGGCCGCCGGCGCCGCCCCGCCCCGCGGCGCGGGGGGCGGGTTGTTGCACGAGTATGTATGTAACTAGTGAGACGACTCGAGATTGGTTCGAGATTGGGGCAGAGCGAGTGGGAGACTTTTCGGCGGGCGAAATGCGGCGGTTTGGATGCGTCCCCTTTGGGACGACCTGTTATGGGCCAAAAGCGTCGAAAATGTCCCAAAAAGCGTGTCTCGAGTTTGTGGCAGCCCCACAGCCGGCGCGCGCCGCCAGGAAGCACCGCTCGCGTGTCGGCGGCACTCCCTGGCACCCAGTGAGTGCCGCGAACCGACCAGACCGAACAGGCTCGATGCCGCGCTCGCTGTGGGGCTGCCACAAAGTCGCCGCCGAGCGTGCCACCGAAGGCGTCCCGGCGGAGGTGATGGAGTGTGAGACCTGAGGCTGCAGAGGTGACGCCTGAGGTACCGTCCCGTGCACAACGACTCAGCCGGCGACCGCCACGGGCTCAGACGAGACCTGTCGACGCGTTCCGGCTCAGCTTCACCATGGTCCTCGGGCGTCTGTCGACGTCAGGACCACCCATACAGCTCGAGGGTTTGAGGTCGCAAGAGCCAAGATGGTGGCGTTTGGACATCCCAACCATCCCACAAGACAGTCTGTAGGTGATGGCGGGACGGCGCAGTGTTTGTGGCTCTCGGCAGTAGGCACCTGCGGCACGGCCCCGCTGTCGGCTCTCGCGGGCTGCGGAACCGGCCCCAGAAGGGGACGGTCCGGGCGAGTGTGGCAGCTCCTGCGCTAGTATGGGCACCATCTATCACAACACTACTGACCCTGGCCATTAGAGCTGCCAGGGATAGCGTCAGGAGCCGGTAGGAGTCAAAACCCCTCATATTTGAGACATCGTGGCCCATATACTCGTGCAACAACCCGGGCGCGGGGCGGGGGCCAACGCGCGCCGCGCGGACGACCGGGGCAGCGCCCCGCCGCGGGCAGCGCACGCACACGCCGCCTCCGTCTGTTCGCCCGCTCCCACGAGCACGTACAGCCCGCCGCGAGGCCCTTACGCCAAGATCTCAGCTCCATCTCGCGCCCCAAGCTTTCCGTATGACCAGCTCGAGGTAGCCGGTCGTCTCGTCCACCTGACAGACAGAGCGGCGCGCCGTTCCGCACTATACGCGCGTACGCACTACCGCCGCCCCTCGCCTCCCGGCTGAACGTGAGCGCGGGCAACGCCGCCAGAATCACTTCCGCCGTCGTTGCCACCGTCGCCGCGCCCTTGATGTGCCCGCCGACGACCGAGCCGTCGGCGCGGGAGACCGCGGCGTGGAGGTGGAAGCCCTTGCCGCACTCAGAGATCGTGCCCACGAGAGAGACAATCTCGAGCGGCTCGCGCAGCTCGAGGAACTCGCATGCGCCGGCGAGCCGAAGCCGCAGCGCGGACAGCGAGCCCACACAAGTTGTTATCGACGCGGAGCTGAGACGCTGCCGCGCACAATAGCCTGCAAGCGCGTTCACCAGATCGTCGCCGCATCGCAGGCGCAGCGCGTGGTGCACCGCAGGCGAAGAGAGGACGCTGTTGGACCTAGACGCGGTGCGAGATCGGCGCAGCCAGCCCGAGGGCCGTGAGGACGCCCGAGTCGCGCAGGCGACGCCCGCGGATGCGATAACGATTGCGATCACGGCGCCAGGAGAGGAGAGGGCGACCATCACAAGGTGTGAGACCAGCTGGTGAGGCGGCACTGTCCGTTGTCCTGCGCTGTGCTAGTGGAGCTTTGGCGTCGGCACACCGCGGTGAGCGCGCTCAAGGTTTTTTTATGAGAGCGCCTTCGTTGTTAATAGTACAAACCCAATGGTCCTCTGCGAGCGGTCCTTCGTTGCAGTCGCACACACGCACACGCCACGCCGCACCGCGTGCCCGCCCACCGCCCTGCCCAGGCGGGAAAGAGATGGGGAGATGGGACAGCTTTTTTTATCGTTTAACGTAGAAATTTATCGATCAACACTTTCGATAGACCGAAAGTAAGATCGTTCGGTGCAGAAACCCCGGCCATGCCCATGTAACGCAATTGTGCTCGACTTTTTTGATTTTTTGGTCGAGAAGTGTCTCCAAGTCTTCTGGACCCATCGATGGCCGTCGCCTCGACGCCGCTCGTCGCGGCACCATCGTGCCCGGCCTGGGCGAAGCATCGTCGCGGGCGCCAGCCGCAGTTCGACGGCAAGCCGTGCGAGCCTGCCGAGGAGGAGGACATGTGGCTGTGCCTGGCCGACGGCCGCGCGCGCAGCACCGCCGACCTGAAGCGCCTGGCGACAGCCGCTCGGGTGCGAGCGAAACGAGCAAGAGATGCAGCCGCCGCGAACACGCGCGATCGGCAGGCGCGCGACCAGCGCCGCCGGCAGCGTGAGCAGCACGACCGGCGCGCAGCGCCGGCGGTCGCCAAGACCGTGCGCCCACAACGCGGCCAGTGCGGCTGCCCGGCGCACGCGGTGTGCGGCATGTGCGTCGACCAGGGCAAGCTCGCCGCGGCCGAGCAGGCGGCCATCGACCTGGAGACGCGCTTCCACGCCTCGACGAACGTCGTCATGGACCTGGAGCGGCCCGAGGACGAGACGGCGGCGCTGCTGCAGCGCTGCGTGCACGTCTCCGACGAGACGAAGCGGCGGCTGCTGGGCGAGTGGAGCGACGAGCGCATGGCGCACGCGCTGCCGCTGCACGCATGCGCCTCGTGCGGCGTGCGGGACCCGTCGCTGACGTACACGCGGGTTGACGTGTCGGCGCTGCCGCGTACTGTGTCTGTGCGCGTAGCCGGCGGCGAAGACGAGACGCGGCACGTGTTTGAGCTCTCGCCCGAGCAGTGCGCTAAGTATCGAGGTCTTCAAAACAAAAAGGTGCGCCTTGCGTTTCCCAACGGCGCGAGCAACGACCGAGAAAAGGAGTTGCGGTGTTGATCGCCGCGGGAGCCCTCTTATTTCTGTAGTGTAACTCACTCCCAAGATTAATTCTCGCGCACGTCTACTCTTGGCCGAGGAGAGCGGTCTGCCCCACCACAAATGCCAGCAGAGCTCAATACGGATGGATTGCCGACGGGCAAGCCTCATTGGCGCCCCCCCCTAAGCAGCCCGTCGATGCAAGTGGCTCGCGCGGCCACGGCCGCAACGACGCGTCGCCGGCGGCGCTCACTCGAGCCCGAGCCCTCCGCGACGGCAACGCCAGGTCGTCGCGTCCGCCCCGCCAGCACTTGAGCACGCCTCCCGCATACCGATGACTGCACTCGGCGTCCACCGGCGGGGGACAATGGAGGAGCGGTCAGCAGTCTCGACCTTCCGACCCGCCTCTGTCCTTCGTGCACAGGTACTAAGCACATCCTTCTCTCGCTGCTGGCTGTCCACACAGCCAGACCTAGACACCTGCCCACACATCGGATCATTGCCCCCTCTGTGCCCATCGCCCCACTGGCCCCTTCCCCACGGCCCTCGCTTCGCCCTGCACAGAGCCTCCCCGACGGAATGAAGAAACACCAGGGGTGAGAAACCACCCCGACCAAACCGACGGCGCGTCGGGGCCAGCGCTCTCAAATGCGCCCCAAACAGTCCTGCCATTCTCCACGCCGACCGCCGCCCAGCAGCCAGAGCTGGCAGAAGCCGACGTGGCCGACGTGCAGCCGATGCAGATCGACCCGCCGGGCTCCGGATGCAACCTCGCCGTCGCCCCCTGCTCCACCGCCGCTCCCGCCCACCACGCCGCCGTTGCATTCGTCCAGCCGGCTGCTCGGCGTTCTCCTCGGCTACGACGAAGCGATTGTGATGGTATCATTTCGCATGCTGACGTTCACGACCCGCCGGGCTCCAGTTGCAAAACCCCCGCTTCGCCGCCCGTCGCCAGGCCCGACGCACCAGCCGACCACGCCGCCGCTGCATCCGTCTCTTCCGCTGCCGCTTGCCCGGTCTTGGCCGTTGCTTTCCCTGCCACTTCGCCGCCCGTCGCCAGCCCTGCCGCACCCACTCCCTTCTCGGCCGCCATTGTTTCGCAAGCTGGTGGCGTGCAGCTGATCCACTCCGCGAGGTCAGCCACTGGGTACATGGGCGTGTGCGGCGTGTCAGGCGGGAGGTTCATGGCGCGCGTCACTCGCCAAGGCCAGAAGGTGAGCTTGGGCGTGTTCAAAACCGCGGTGGATGCCGCAGTCGCCTACGCCAAGCACATGCGCGAGCCGCCCAGCGTGCCCGCCGCACCACCCACCTCCGGACAGGCCCCAGCCCCGCCAGCCGGGGCCGCGCCCCTCGGCTCATCGCCCTCCGCAGCCCGCGCCGTCGCCGTCGCCGTCGCCACCACCGCCACCGCCACCGCCACCGCCACCGCCACCGCCACCGCCACCGCCACCGCCACCGCCACCGCCACCGCCACCGCCACCGCCACCGCCACCGCCACCGCCACCGTGCCACGTGCAGCCGCCTTCGCCGGCCCCTTTGCCGGACCTTCCGCCGTCGACTTTCTGGCGCAGTCTCCGTGCGAGTGCACTTCCACCGGCTGGTGCCCTCAGCATCCCAAGCCGCGTGGAAGGAAGCCAGCCAACCACACGTGGCAGTACGTGCCGTCGCTGGGCCACTGGGCTTACCTCCACAACGAGACGAACGCCCTGTGGGACCGGATACGAAGCAGAAAGCAGGACCGGCACGCGCCCGGTCGGGTTCGGGACCGCATAGCAGAGGCGAAGCGCGCCGATCTCCAGCGCCGCCGCAGTGTCACGTACGCCCATCGCCAGGCTGCGCGCAGGAAGAATGTGACGCCGCTGCGCGTGGACAAGAACAACAAGTGCAACTGCCCACCTCGCTGCTACTGCGATGTATGTCCCACTGCAAAAAAGGACGAAGCGGAGACGGTGTGCCCTCCACCCTTCGCTCCCGCCTCGAGCCGCATTTGCTAACTCGCCGCGCCCGCATTCCCACGCCGCGTCCGCCTCGAGCCCCGCTTGATGATGGGCTGCGCAGGCCGCTTGCAAGCTGGAAGAGCTGTTCCACGAGTCGACCAACGTGTTCATGGACATGGACCACTCGCCGAGGGTGCTCGACAAGCTGCTCGAGCAGTGCGTGGAAGTGTCGGTCGAGCGGAGAAGAGCGAGATCCTGTGCGAGTGGGCGGGCAAACGGATGTGCCACGGGCTTCCGCTTGAGTCGTGTGCCTCGTGCGGCATCCGCGACCCGGATCGTGACTACCACGTCGTGCGACTCAAAGAGCTGCCGTCCGTCTTTCGCCTCGACAAGGACGCCTGCGCTCGACGCGCGCGGCTCGGGTCGGTCGACATGGTCTTCCCTCGCAATGGCGCAGGCGACGTGCTGCACGACTTCCTCCACTGCCCTTCACTTTGCCTCTCTCTCGCGTCACTCACCTTCAGCGCGCTTGTACCTTGCAGATGGCTACGAGACCCGATCCGTCGACATCCGACCCATCATGAGCTGCTACGAGGCCCCCGACGGCACGCTCTACTACCTGCACCCAGAGTTTGTCGACGTCGCGGAGGACGCGTCCAACCCGTCGATGCTCTTCTGCGACAAGTGCAACGCCCAGATTGGCGTCGAGAAGCCCAAGGCGCCGAGCCACTCCCTCGCGGCGGGCGTCGACTTTGGCGTGCTCTCGCGCATCCCCGAGTTCTGCGACTCGGACATGCAGCTCTCGGAGGCAGAGCAGATGCTCCTCTCCGACGTGCGCCTCTATGTTGTAGGGCCCTCTGGGGCAGTCAAAACCGGACCTACCTACCTATTGCATAGGGTGTCACCGTGTGGTCAACAGACCCCCTAATCTGGGTACACCGCGTGGCGCGCGTCACCGGACCCGCGGACTTTTGGTCACCTTTTCCCTCAACCTGATTGTGCTCACAAAGAAGAGCGATCGCGACTGCGTGCAGGTGGGCCCCTACATCTGGCCAGAAAAGCTGTCGCGGACCTGCCCCGCGTCGCGGCAGAGAGGGCCGCCAGACCCGGCAGATGATCCGTTCTGGCGATGGTGCCAGCGCCACGGTGGGGAGGGCGCTGGGAGGCCGTCCGGCGCGTCGACGGGGACCGAGCACATCTTCCGCGCCGAGATCCAGGAGCTGAGGAGACGCAACGGCGCGCTGCAGGCGGAGCTGACAGCCGCGAGGGGGGCGAGGGGGCGAGGGCGGGCGAGTGGTCCAGCGGAGGGCAGGTAGCACTGGAAAAGAAAGAAAGGGCCCAAAATGAGAGGGGTGGAGGTTCACTACAGACCGCCACCACACAGAAAACAGTGCTCAAACGACAAATACGAAATATACGGTAACCCCACACAAGGGAGGGGGATGGGACCGCCACCACACAACGGCCAAAATCTCACTTTTGTCTTTAACTTTCATGAGCAACAAACTTTCGCACGCTCAGCCCCTGGACGAGGACCACACAAGAACTGGTGCATGGCCTACACTGACGATGCAGCGAACAAGCGTGCAGCGACTGGTCCGTCGTCGTTCTCCACACGCTGACCGCAAGACCGCTGAGCGCTGTGGCCTGCTGTGGCGTGGCAACGGTGAACGAGCAAGCATGCGGGGAGAAGAGCGGCATTGTGCATGTGCGAGAACGCAAGGGTAAAGGTAAGCCGGATGGCTCACAGGCCACCTGTTGCGCCCCGAGCTGACCCTCTGTACCGAACGCAGAACCCTTTCGCCGCCCCCTCCCCCCCGACCCATCCACCTCGCCGAGCCCGTTACGCCCGAGATATGCGAGGTGCCGCAGCACGCGACCTCGGGCGACCTCGCGACATCTCGGAGCTGCGCCCCCACACACAACAGCCCCCCCCCCCCCCCCCCCACCGCGCACGTGGCCCGCACACACTTGCTCAAAAAAGAAAGGGCCTCTGAGGATCCAGGGCTCGCAGTACCGCAGCTTGGAGGTAGGTAGGTAGGTAGGCGAAGAACAGTCAGGCTCGCTCTACTGGACACCAGCGCGGTATGGCTATGCCTATGGGTGGGTGGGTGGATGGATGGACGCGGGACAGATGACGACAACAAACGCTCGATCGAGCGAACACACAAGACACAAACAAGCGCACAAGACACACAGCCAGCTGGGCTGCCGGGTCGGCCATGGCTTTAGATGTGCAGGGGGGGTACCGAGCAGTGAGTGTGAGAGTGGTGTGTGTGGCCGCTCTGTGTGTGTGTGTGTGTGTGTGTGTGTGTGTGTGTGTTTTGCGCGAAGGGCAGCGGCGAGCGGCAAGTGGCGTCGGCGACGCGGCGAGGACACGATGGTGACGCACACAGCGCAGCTTGCGCGCCAGCAGCGCCGACGCTTGGAGGAATTTGCTTTATCCGCGCGAGCCTCTTGTGCACCGCCGCCTTCTGAGGTTACAAAGCATGTGGTGCGGTGGACGCCGCAAGAAGAAGGGCGCCGCCAGCGGGCCTCGCCAGCTCACCACGCCCGGGCCGCAGGACAGCTCCTCATTTGGCATCCGCTCTTCCGACGCCGCTAAACCCGAGGATGCAGCCGCTTTCAAGGCGGCCGACTGCCTCGCGGGCTCGCGCTGCGATCTGGAGGCGGTGGCGTCTGCCCTGCGTGCTCTCGCGCAGCGGCCGGCCGACGCCAGGCCCTCCGATCCCGCGGCGTGGCTGGCGGGCTTGATAGGTCCCGCGCTGGGCTACCGGATGACGCTCGAAAACCTGCTCGACATTGTGCACATCGTCGGCGGGGAGCCGGTCTGCCGCGCCGCCCTCGCCGCGCAGGAGCTGCACGCCGAGGCGGACCGCGTACGCTCCATCGCCGAGGCGCGCGGCGGCGCGTGCTCCGGCGACGCGCTCGCCAACGCTCTCGCCAACCTGCGAGCCGTCTCTGGCTGCGGAGGCGAGGGCGGCGGCGGCAAGCTGACGCCGCACCTTGCGTGGGTGATCTCGCGCGTGCTCGCGCTCCTCCCCGGCTGGTCCTTCGCCTCTGACGGCGACGTCGACCGCCCGCCGCTCTGCTCCGCCGCCGACTGTGCCGTGACTCTGTCGCCGCTCGAGTCGATGGACATGAAGCGGTCTCTCCCCCCTAGATCCCCTCGCTAGATCCCCTCGCTAGATGCAGGCGTCCGCCTCGCCTGGAGGCCGCCACGCCGCTGGAAGACGCCCGCAGTCGGGCTCATCATGGCCTCCCGCTCCCCCCGAGTGATTTGAATTTGGTGAGGGGTACTCGGCTTGTGGTTTTTCCGGGGGCT